CAAGGCAGGATGAAATAGAAAACTTGTAATACTCCTGTGCGTGTGTGCGTGTGTGCGTGTGTGCGTTTGTGTGTGTGTGTGTGTGTTTGTGTTTTGAATGTACTATATGTATCGGTCCAGGCCTGTGATGAAAAGTATGACACAAGTTGAACTGGGTTGTATAAGCATCATTAAAAATGTATTATTTGTTCATATACAACAAAATGTTCACACACTCCTTATCCTTTTGAGTGCTCTTATTTTTCCACATGATTCATGTTTGATTATTCAGGATAGGGCTTTGGCTTATGAATGGAAGACCTTGGACTCTTATTTTCTACCTTGTAATTCCATTCTTGCAGCTAAGTATCTTTGATGAATGTGGGAATGAGACAGAAACTGATGTACTGAGTTTATGGGCAGATATATCTGCATGCATTAAATGTGATTTTAGTTCATATCCAGACTTTATCAGTTTTAATATTATTATGCTAATTTGACTCAATGACAAGAATGTTAATCAAAATAATGACTGCATTACCCTAAAGCTTTCCGTATTGTTAATTTGAACAATATTTATCAGTAATATTTGACACTGAGTTCATTGTGACTGCACTGGAGTATCAAACACAACAGTTTGATAAATCCAATCTAGTCAGAGCTAATTCAAAAGCACCAGATTATATTTCAGAAAATTTGTGAAAGAAAATGTCTTGTTTTTCTCATGCAGCTGATTATGTGGGGCAGACTAATGGCAGGGGGAGATTAGTATAAGGTCATGATGCTAATGAAATCCCATCATTCAGAGTGTTTAATGTGGGGACTGTGCTGACAAATTGACAATTTCAAATCAGCAGCTTTTACCCTGAGGGAGGAGCTGGCCATATTCAGTCTGCCTCACAAATGACCAGAACATTTGCATGAAACGATTCTTTATGCAGTCAAAAGCCAAGTTCATTAACCCTGCAAAGAGATCTTTATGAATATGCAAATTCAAAAATCCATATTTATGTGAACACAGAGTTAAGTAAAATATCCTGACACAAAAATGTTTTTTTCAAGTCAATGCTTTTAATAAAAAACTTTGACACAAGAAGTATATCAAGACTTTAACCCAGGGGTGCCCAAACTCGGTCCTGGAGGGCCGGTGTCCTGCAGAGGTTAGCTCCAACTTGCCTCAACACACCTGACTGGAAGGTTCTCTGCCTAGTAAGAGCTTGATTAGTAGGGTTGGAGCTAAACTCTGCAGGACACCGGCCCTCCAGGACCAAGTGTGGGCACCCCTGCTTTAACCCAAAGGTTCTCTGTCTTTTTCAGCAGGAAGTGGCATCATCATCTGGAGAGCTACTATTGTCACTCAGTTATCTGCCAGCGGCCAATAGACTTGGGGTGGTGGTAATGAAGGCAAGAGGACTTCAGTCAGACAAACTGAAAGATAACATAGGTATTTACCCCCAAAATATGACCATAACAACACTTAAATTAATGTGAACATTAAAAATAATCCCAAATCAACTATTAGTTACATAATCATCTGTATAATCTCTATTCTAAGATGGAAGTGAACTAAAGATTCAGCAGCTCAATGCAATGCATTTAGTGATTAAATTAACACACAAACCAGTCAAAAGTCAAAACAGGGAATCATACTTTTTTTTTTTTTTAAGAAGTCTCTTATGCTCACCCAGGCTGCATTTATTTGATCAAAAATACAAATACTAGTACCATTGAAGACTGGAGTAATGGCTATTAAAAATTTAGCCATCACAGGAACAAATTATATTTGAATATATATTCGAATATAAAGCAGCTCTTTTAAACTGAAATAATATTTCACAATGCTACTGTAAATGTAGCCTGGGTGAACATAAGAGACGTCTTTCAAAAACATTCAAATATCTTTATTATTCCAAACTTTTGACCGGTCGTGTATATGTACACACAATAAATATATCCATCCATCCATCCACTCATTTTCCAAACTGCTGGTTCTAAATAAAGAAATACAGTACATTCAATATTAATGTAAATGTTTTAGGTGTAATAAAGAGAACACTGTACCCTGTATGTTTTCTGATAGATCTATCGGTAAAGCTGACCTTGAAACACCAAAATGCCAAGCTGAAGAAGAAGCAGACGCGGCGAGTGAAGCACAAGATGAATCCGGTCTGGAACGAGATGATGATGTTGGAGCTGCCCAGTGAGTTACTGGCTAAATCCAGCGTTGAATTGGAGGTACTGAACCTGGCCAGTCCCGGGACCCTGCTCCCCCTGGGCCACTGCATGCTGGGGCTCCACACCCCTGGGACTGGCCTGCAGCACTGGAAACAGATGCTAGATAATCCACGCAAACAAATTGCAATGTGGCATCCTCTATACACCTAAGAATACGGGTTAATATTCTGCAAAACATCACCTATACGCAATGTGTGGTTGGATTTTTATTACAGTACTCGATTGCTGTGTAAAAACATAATATTTAAGTAGATATAATGAGTGAACCCAGTTGTTATCATTTCTTAATATGAAACTATTTTCTCTGCAGTACTAATATTGTTACACAGTAGTTTAGAGTATTTTAATGTAAGCAGTGCTGCATTTACCTTTGTTGTTGTTAATGTGTCTTCAAATTACTCATTGCTATTTTAAACTGGTCCGGCTTGAAGCCATCCTCATCTCCTAACACTTGTCAGATATAAAATATGACTGAACAGCCCACTCAGTCAATACCATAGTGACTGATGGGAGAGAGAAGCAAACGGCTCATATCTGATATACTGCAGAGTGTAAAGCCTGGCTGGATCAGATCAGGAGAAAGGTTAAACTACTGTATCTAACCAGGTTTGGCAGAACAGATGTCCCTCATAACTCATCATAAATAAAAAATCACAACAAATATTAGGTTAAAACACTCTTTGTCAGATGAAGCCCTTATGTAATCCACAGGCAGTGTTTTTCTGAAAGCATCAGATAATACAGCATACAGAAGTCAGTCTACTCAGAACACTTAGAAAAACATTCGAATATAATTCATTTTTAAGTTTAATAGCAAACAGTGTGGTTTTCCTGCTATGAAGGCTTATGGATCCTCTTAGTCACACTGTCACAGCTGAAAAGATGGAGCCCTGCTCACTAACTGTAGATTGTGGATAGTACCTTTACAGCAGTAACACACTAAATAAATATACAGGGTCTCAATAGGGCAGCTTTACTGTTCTCAAGATGCATGTATACAGAAAAAAAATGTAAATGTACCACTGTCTTTTAATTTAAAAAATGTAAATATACTGTATATAAACAGCAGGATATGTATACTATATACCATATGTGTATTAGCAGGATGAAGTATCTCACCAGGTACTGCCAGGCTCCAGGAAAGTTACTAGGGGCAATTACTTTACCATCATTATACTCTTGAGTGTAATAGAGGATGATGCTCTCTACCATTATTGTACTTTTAAACATTTTAGATGAAAAAATTAAACTCATAGCTGGAATGAAAATTACTCAGTTTGGAGACCTATGAAAGCCTGTTTAAAAAAAAATAGTAATAATTAAAAAAGGTAATTGCGAATTTTATTTCACAGTTTGGACTTAGTTTCTTGCAATTCTGACTTTTTTTCTCAGAACTGCGAGAAACAAAATCTGAATTGTGAATAAAAACTATAAACTAAAAAAAGAGATATAAACTCAAAATTCTGAGAAAACAGTTGTGAGACATTAACTTTTGTGTTGCGATTCCTAGTATACATTTCACAGTTCTGAGTTTTTATTAAATCTCTCTGATATAAACTTGCAATTGTAAGTTAACATCAGTTCTGATCTTTTTTCTTGCAATTCTGTTATAAACTTGTAAGAATTGTAGGAAAATAATTTATTTATTAAACAAATGTATTCTGTGGCGAAAGCAGGCTTCACTCTTCAAGCTACAGTTCTATAGCTCAATGTTGTAAAATGCTGAAATTTTGTCTCATTAAAGAAGTTTGTCCCATGTAAAAGTATGGAATTTTTAACTTAAAAGTATGGACTTTAACCTAAGTTAGTATATGCTTCCTTCTTTCCAATTCCAAGTCAAATTGTAGCCAAACACAACCAAGCCTGATTTATTCCAAAAATGTATTTGTGTTTCACCATGAGTGCATATTCTAGAGGTGACATGCCAAATGCCACTAAAATCAAATATTGTGCATCTGTCTTGGAAGAAATGCATATTTTGTGCTATAATCAACAAAGTAGTCATGCAACCAAATGGCAAATCAAATCAATCAGCTGTAAGTGAATATTCAGCTAAGTCACACAAGATATTTGCTGAAGTATTTGTTGTGTATTTTAGTGTTAATCTGTTTTGTGTGACCTGATTACAATAAAATCTCCAGTTAGATCATAAATTATTCATCAGACATTTTCATTATTTTGACTTTAATATAATTAAATTAAAGGCATTGTTCAAAATTCTGTGCAATGTTTTAATTACTGATAATTCAGTTAATTATTTGATCACAAAAAGAAATGTTTATGTCAGATATGTTTAACTGTTTGGATAAATTTAAGCTTTAAATATATTTGTAGAGGTTCCTTGGGTAGCAATTAAAAGCAGTGAAATCCCCCATCTTATGTGTAAATACATTAGATAACAATTTTTAATCTCTATTTGTCCTTCACTTATGTTCAAATATTTACAGTGCAATGGTTATTGAATTTACATCATTGCTGTGCTTGATACTTTTCCAGAGAAGGATGACCAATGGAATGTTAATCACTGCAATCTGATCCATCTATATGACTTACTGCATAACACTCTCGATTTCATACTGACAGAAATGTATTTTTAATCCACAGATATGCTTGAAACAAATAGCCATGTGTTGGTGTGAAATAAATATTCCTTTTCTCAAAATGTGTTTGCTTAATGTCAGCGATTTGAAGGATCTAGTTATAGAATTGGTCAGACTTGATAAATGACAAGCAGATGAGCAATATAAGGAAGTGACAGATATCCAGACCAACAGCACTTCCCACAATCAGCAGCAAATGAACACACACTGAGAAATATATCAGAGAAAGACAGAGAGCAAGAATGGAAAACAAAATGGATCACAGCATATTAAAGTAATCTTTCTTTTGCCTTGTATTTCTCCCTCTAATCTTACATATAAATAGTGTCTTGTTGCATTAACAGGTGACATTAATGGGTTCTTTGTGGTTATTGGTGGGCACGACAGAGCACAGTACCTGGTCTTATTATAGTCTGTATAATCAGAATTATAGTCTGTATAATCAGTCCACTGTCTGTCTGCTCGGCAGCCTTGAAAATGGCACAGGATACCAGCAGTAACTGCAATGCATCACTAATGAGCTTCTTACATAATCCCACTGATAAAAAAACAAACAAACTCCCACCTGCTTGATATATTGCCCTGCCAGAGCTAAAAATTATTTTGCTGGCTCGCTCTTCCCAGAGCTGTGTGTGTGAATTAATGAGAGAAAACGCTACAAGTCACATGACAAATGTCTTTTGTCTGTTTCTGTCCTTATTTCAGAAGGACTGAGTGAAAAATTATGGCTTATCACTGACAACAGGCTTATTGATCAGGGTTGTGCTCTTCAAAACAGTGAGTTCTTCCGTTTAAATGAACTCACAAGTGAATTCACATAAATATATTTCGGATCATGTGAAACAGTGGAGAGAATGATCTGTGGAAATAATTTTCATCACTCTTTCCTAGTTATACACAGCACATAAAGTTCATTCAAATGTATGGAGAATAAAACATAATTCATTTAAATGTACTGAGAGAGAGCGAGAGAGAGAGAGAGCGAGAGAGAGAGAGAGAGGGAGAGAGAGAGAGAGCTCATTAAAGCTCTCATTATGGTTTTCTGTGTGAAAACTACAAAATTACAGCTCATTACTTCCTTTGCCCAGCATGGACAGCATTGAAAACACTGTCCTTATTCACACTGACCACAACACTGCTTTGAACAAAACAGTCTTCTTCCCGAAGAAACAACACATGAAATATAGATGGAGGGAAAAACTGCCCTAGAAAATGTTTCTTTCTGATGCTGAGCTGAGTGAAATTTTGCTGTCAGACAAAGCAGGGAGAGAAAAAGACACTGCATGGAGCAACCTGTAATGCTTTGTATCAACTCTTCTGTCTCGTTCTCTCCTCTTTGTGGCCTGTATAATATTGCTGAATTTCTGTGGTATCAGCAGGTACAAACAAAAACAGAGGTAGAGGAGCAGAACATCTTGAACACACACAAACACTCTTAAGTCACTACCATGTAAAAGTCAAAATCTAAAAGTCCTCTATGAAAATCTGGGATTCAAAAATCGAATTTAAACTTTGAATTAATAAGAAATGTCGTTGGATTTAGCAAAATTGTAATGAAATGTTATGTTGTAAAATTAACAATAATATTTAGGATTTTACAAAGTTAGTTCTGGTCCTCGAATTTCAGTTCAGCATTTGAGTGCTGATATACCAGCACTGGGATTTCTCACTGTTTCCATCACTCCGCTTGTCTGTATCTGTGTGTTCCTGACAGACTGTCAGTCTATCCATTAGTGGTGGGAATTTTTTCAGTGACTCTTTCTGCAGGTTACATTACGTTACATCAGGAAGTGGTGACAATCTTTATGAGTGAGTTATTGAAACATTCATTCAACCAATTCATTCAAAACCAATAAGTGTGCCAATGCATAGTATGTTTGTAATCAATAATCAATATCTAACCTGAGGAAAAATCTTTAATGTAATTTGTTTAGACCTAGAGCTATATTTAATTTTTGAAAGGAGTAAAAATGAAGCTGTGAGAGTTAGAAGTACAGTGCGTTCAATGGACTGTATTGTCATCTTTCGTAAAAAAACAATATATATAATATATATATACACTGTAAAAAATGATTGTGATTTTAACAGTAAAAGACTAAAAATGCTACAGTAAAAACCTGTTAACTGGTTAACAGTAAGTTTCCATACTATATTCGGTGAATAAATGTAATTACATTTAATGTAATTTTACAGTAAAATACTGTTAAAAATACGGTTTTTGGAAGTGAAAAAGAAAAAGTCATTGTATAATTTACAGTGACAAACTGTAAATTGACACTCCCAGAATTCCCTGCATGACACTTCATATTTGATGTTTTTTCTTAGTTTTTTTGTTATCAGTTGTGTACATTAGGGTTTAATCTTACATGTAATGTTAAATTAATGTTTATTGCATTATTTCAGTATCATGTGTCACCATGATGGGGTTTAGTGTTTGTGTGAATGACACTGTGCACCTTCTATATACAAGTATTGTCCTCAGCTTGTATAAAAGCTGTTTGTGATGAGCGTTGGTTCATCATGTGACTTTCTCATCACCACCAGTTTTTGGTGGTTATCAGTGCATTACAATGGTTCAAAACAGATATTAGCACTTCAATATTTTGGTTTATTAACATTACATCAGTTAATGAAATACGGTATTTTATTGTGAATTTCAAGAGGACAACAGGGTATAGACTTTTTCACTGGATGAAGTGTTATGGATTATGGACTGGTATTTTGGCCAGACGTTAAGCCTTAATGGTGGATTTGTTTTTACAAATATGCAGCTTTTTGCTTCACAAGATGTTAATTGATGAAGTGGAGTCACGTGTATTACTTGTGGATTATTGTGATGTTCTTATCAGCTGTTTGGACTCTCATTCTGGCGACACCCATTCACTGCAGAGGATCCATTGGTGAGCAAGTGATGTAATGTTAAATTTCTTCAAATGTTTCGATGAAGAAACATCTACATCTTGGATGGCCTGAGGGTGAGAAAATTTTGATTTTGGGCTGAACTATTCCTTTAATAATGTGTCCTTCACACAAGCATGCATGGACACAATCTTGATTCACAACACTATTGCAGCTCCATTCAGATGATAATGAACTCTGATTAACAAAATCAGGCCCTTTGCACACCCTTTTTCTCCTTCTTAAATGTACAGAAAGATATGAGAATGTGTTCTCTGTTTATTCAAGCCACCATAAAACCTGTGAATGAAGGTTGCTACATGTTTTACAAATCACAGCTTGAAGCGACCGGGTCGTGTGTGCGTGTGTTGTGTTGCATCCAGTCTGCCCTCTGAGCCTCTCCTGGGTTAGACTGATCCATGTTGCCACGGTGACGTGAGAAGGCTGAGTGATCGAGATCCTTTCTGCATTCATCAAGAGGACTGGCTGCTAATTTAGAAAGGAAGGACTGCTGAACAACATCAAGGTTTAGAAACATCAGTTCAGAGTCAGACCGGCATCTCCTCATCCTCAACAATCGACTCAAAACTAACAGACACAAATTGTGCAAGTCCTTAACAGTAACAATTCAACAATCAATTTTACCAGAGTAGAGAGATCAATAACTGGGACAAGGAGACAGGGATAAGAGGATAACAGGATATGGGGAAAGTAACATTGATCTTCAAGAAAACAAACTGATAGAATTACAATGCAGAGGCAAATAAGCGATTAGAGAAAAAGCTGCTTAACACATTCACTGTGACTGGATGTGTCTTCTGACACTATAAGCTGCTCTA